CTGCTTTTTCAAGAGAAGGTAAAGAGGAAAAAATATTTTTTGGGAAGAGGAAACATCTTTGTCTACTACAAATATTTATTGAACACTACTACAGTATTTTGAAACCATTTGAAGACAATATTTAGAATAGTGCTTGGTATTTGAACATCTACACAGTAAACATTATACAGGCTAGTAACTGGCTGTCTGCCTTGGACGATTTACAAAATCTCAAAGTCATTTGTACCCTATTGCTTCCTTTAGCTCTTGCTGTGTATTGAATCACCTCAAACTGACTCAGAACAATTACCTTTCATGACTCTGGGTGATTAGGTTCAGTTGAGAGCTCCTATTCCATGTGGTGTTGGCTATAGCTGCTGTCATGTGGGGACTCCACTGGGCAGCAGTGTCTAAGATCCTTCCTTTACATGACCCACATACGAATGTGGCAGAGGCTGAGGGCTCATAGGTGTTATCTGTCAGAATCCCTCATTCTTCTCCAGGTGCCCTTACTACAGGGCTTAGGCTCTTCACACCATGGCACCTTTATTTCCAAAGGGACTGTTCCAGTGGAATAAGCTCCCAGGGTGTGTGGATGCACAAAACCTCTGCTTATTTGATGCTTGGTAGAGAGACAGTCCCAGTGGCTACTAGCTATTCACACGGCCAAGCCCGGAATACAAGTGAGGACTAACTACATGAGCATGTGAACACTGGTGGTTTTAGTCATTGAGGTCCACAAAAGTGACAGTCGATTACATCCAGAAACTCATCTGAATTCTAAGAGCACAGTGACAGTCTTTCAGGGCTGGGAATTTAGCTCAGTGGCACAGTGCCTGCTTAGCAAGCACTAGGTTATGAGTTTGATCCCTGTTACAAAAATGAAAAAAAAAATTTCAGGACTGTATGAGACCTTAGAGATTTTATAGATCAGCTCTTTTGTTTTGTAAAAGAAGAGATACAAACTCAGAGAAAGGGGCTGCTGGTTGTAAGAACAGTTCCTAGCCAGGCTCTGTGTGGGTGTCATCCGGGCCTTGGGTGTCCAGCGTCTGCTCTCACAGAGCCCACTGGCCACGGTGCAGGCCGGCGGGCTGGGTCTCCCTGTGCACTTTAACCATGCTTTTTCCCCACTGCTAACCAAGTGTGTAGTGACTATCTTAAAAGTTAGTTTCAGATATTCTAATTAAGACATATTTGTTATATTTTAATATGTACTTTATGATACATTGGATTTTCTCACTAACCAGTGTGTGCTATTCTAATCCTGGTTTATAATACTTGGAGTTTTATTATTTTAAACAATTGTAAGGATTTAAAATTACTCAAATCTTGGCTTTTGTGAAATATTTTTGTTCCTGTCTATTATTTACATGTAGCCAAGTCCTTTGTTGGGATACAAGCTCTAATTATGATATTGTTCCTACAGAAGAATGTAATTCACTTTTCAGTGATCCGTTTTATGACAGGGTCTCTAGGAATGGATGGTTTCACAATAAAGAGCCAGTGGAGACTGCATTCTCTGGAACTTCTTGCTAATTGCCTGGCACAGTAGGACTCAGGTTTGTAAAGTAGCCCTAATCCTTTTGTTGACATGTGAAGAACCAGTTAGGGAACAACAGTAGATTTCCTTGAGATAGTGTGAGTATGGAAAGGGAGGCAGTGAGTTCTCTGGTTCTCTCCTCAGTCCCGTCAGTCAAATCCCATGTGTAGTTTCTTGCCACACATTCTAGTTTTTCCTTCCCATGAATAAAATGACAATTGCAAAATCAAGAAGCCAACGCACTGAGGGGAGGTCACAGCTGTACTGTGGGGTGCTGGAGCAGCCTCTGGTCAGAAAGGTGTTCTGGTGGGAGCTGAGGAATGTGGAGGAGAACTGGGCAGGTGTAAAGGTTCCCAGCATCTTCCAGGATGAGGAGGCAGGATGCACAGAGAGCTGGAGGGAGGGAAGATGGGAAACAAGCTTGGGGCTACAGGAGTGAAGAGCCTGTGTGTTAGGGGAGCCAGAAGGAGACTGGGGAGCATTAGGGGAACAGAAAGGCCTGAGAATAGCATATGCAGAGACCAGGTCACAAAGGTGCATACAGGTCCTTTAAAGAAGTTTGGCTCGTCCTTCTAGGTAGTGGGATGTTGACTGCTCAGGTTTCTAGTTTAAAAACAATACTGTTGGCTGTTTGGAGGATGACATGGAGGGCAAGTAAAACTGGTGGCCTGAATCCTGCAGAGAGATTTTGTACCTGGCCAGTAGAGGGCACTGTGTTAATGTGACAGCATTTGGTGGCTGTGAGAGCTATTTAGGCTGCAGAGTCAGTGTGTATGAAACTTAAGCAACCAAATAAGCAATAGGTCTTCAGTTCTGCAACTCAGAAGAGAGGCATAGGGCTAGAGAGTTGACTTACCACATTGTAGATGGAAATGAAAGCCATGAGAACATGAGATTATCTGGGAAGGTAAGAGGATAACTTCTCAGAGAAAATTATAGGGATATCCTTTCTTCAAGGTATAATCTTACCTCCTCTGACAGGGGAACTCTTGCTATTGTGCTAAGGAAAAATGTGCAATAATTTCCATTTAATATGTGTTTGCAAGAATGGCTTCTGCGTTAGTCAGCTTTTCAAGACTGTGACAAAATACCAGAGATAAGTCAACCTAAAAGGAAAAAAAAATTTGTTTTGGATCCTTGTTTCAGAACTTTCAGTCCATAGTTGCTTGACTCTGTCATTTCCTTCCCAACATCTGTGCAAAAAGTGAACCTTGGAAGCAGTTCGGGGAGAGCTGCACTGAAGATGGAAACACCCTTTTCAGTATGGCCAGGGGAGCCCACTGGCCCTTCTGGCTTGGATGGATCACCCTTTCTTTAGAAGAACAATGAGGGAAGTAGCTGCCGTGGGATTTAGGTTTATTTTCACTTCAGAATTCCGTTCACTGGATAAGGCACAGAGACTGAGCATTGTGGTGAAAGTGGCAAGCTCTTTGTTTCTATTCATTCCACAGGCAGGGGGTCCCTGCTTTCCCCCCACCTTCCCACAGCCCCAACCCTACCCTCTCCATCGCTCTCTCCGGAGGGAGAGTCCTTCAAATTTCACGGGATGACCTCAGAGCGTACTGTTAAGAACTTTACAGTTCTAATAATACTATAGTTAGATTTATCTCATTAAAGTGCTTTATTTTACTCAAAAATAAAAAGGCATTACAATCTCAAAGGGAAGTTCAAACCTCAGAGAGACAGAAAATCCATGGGCAACTTTGAAGCACGGCCCCTTTCCTCTCTCCAGCTTGCACCTGCCTGTAGTGAGCTCAGCAGAGGCTGGCTTGTCTCCCATCTAGAGTTCCAGGGTACAATTCTGCCTTCCCAGCTTCAAACTCAAAGTCAGCACCCTGATACCACATGTACAGATGCTGTCTTAAGAACTATTGAGGTATTAACAAATTCATCGCTCACAATAAGCTCCTAAGGTTTATTACTTATTATTATTCAGATTGTTACTATTATTATTGTAATTTCACAAAGGAGGAAACCGAGGCATACAGACAGTAGGAAACCTGTCCAGGTCACATGGCTAATCAATGACAGGCAGGATTCAACCCAGAAGCTATGATGCTGAAGCCTGTGCTTTTAATGTAGGTTCTTCTGCTTCCATTTAAATGTGGACTCTGTTTTTACTTACCGGCGCACTTTCTATCTCATTTGGTTTATGACCTTCTTCAGGCAGTATGATACACACCTTGTCAAGGTAACTTGGATCAAACAGAAATTTGATGAATATATATTACATGATAAATGAAAAGAATATAAACCATTATGAATTATCTGATTTTCTGGATGACTTGGGCTTAGTAAAAGACCTTTGTATATGATTTGATTCTTAAGATGCCTCTGTAGTTGAAACAGATACACCTATTTTGTAGCTGAGAAAGCTAAGACGTCGACCAAGAAGTTGGCTTACCTCCAAGACACATGGTGGACTGGGCCCAGGAAAGCACCTGACTTCTGGTCCCACAGTATTCCTCTTCAGATTTTCCTAAATCTGGCTCAACTTAATCCAGGTCCCTGGTCAGCCTCTGGGCTTATCTATTAGTGGAGCCAGGATGTTTACTGTGAATACACATAGATGACAGCACTAAAGGACCAGCATGGGCCAGCGTGGGTGGAGTGAGTGCTGTCCACACAGTGGATTCTCGGTCTGGAGAGAGGACAGTCCCCTCCTGATGGTCATGAACACAGGTTTAAATTAATGCGGCTTCTAGTCAATGCTGTCTTTACCCGCTGATGGGAAGCAAGTGGAGGGACAAATACCAGAAAATACAGGAAATGCTGGTTAGAAGAAGAAAATAAAAACATGAAGGAGTCAGGCATGTGGCGATTACCAGGATGCAAATCACACAATTTTATTTTGGAGGAAAAAAGTGAAAAAGAGAACATACTTGCTCTGCTGATGGGAAAAATTCAAATCAATCCAGAACTCGAGGTGGCAGGCCTTGTTTGGAAGCTCTTATTGTTTATAACACAGGTTTCCCCCCTTTATGAAGCAGATGCTTATACAAGCATTACCAGTGTTGTCAATAATACTGTAACATTTGCCTTCCATCCCTTTGTTGCTCAGGGAACGTGTTGGGTTTCGGCACATTTAGCTTTGCCATTTACTTCATAAATCACAGCTGTGGAGTGCTACAACCAAGTTGATTTTACTGAGAATACAAATGGAAGAAAAAAAAATTCTCCTAACAACCTTTCTAGTAATTATGGGCTTGAAATACTTTGGAGTGTGTGTGTGTGTGTGTGTGTGTGTGTGTGTGTGTGTGTGTGTTTTCCAAACAACTTGGTTTCAGTACAATGATGCTTCAATAAGAATCTTCCTGCAAATTTAATTCAAAAAGGAAGGCTTTGTTGTTATTAAACACAATGGCAGTTTGTACATCTCCACATCATTATGTTGCTTCTCATTATGGTAATTCATTTGCTTCTGCTTTGTATGGATATCAAATAAAAATCACTCTCGCTCCTGGCAAGTGACTGCCATTATGGAGACACTCTGGGAGCCCAGCTGAGCGGTGCTTGGTGTCATAGCAAACACAATTAGCAAAATGGCATCCAGAGTGGCTTTATGGAGTTGCCCGGTGGTAAGTCTCTGCTTTCTCTGTTTAGCAGGGTTGTAGGTTACTCGGCTTTGCTGTGTGCCTTCTCTAGTTTCATCTTTGTACCATTTTCTATTCAAGTAGAACAGCATGAGGACTTTGTGTGAATTTTCTTTTTTCTTTTTTTTTTTAGTGGACTTCTCCTCAGCACTTGCTGGGCTCAGAGAGCCCAGGGTTATTTGGCTGGGGTAGGTGCCCACATTTCTCTAAAGAGAAGTCAAGGACGGTGTTATCCAGTGTCCACTCTGAGATCATTGTGAAGTTTTTTTCTTTCCTCTTTTATTCCTCCTTCTTGCCATTTGTCAACAATTAGAGGCTTTTGAATTGTGCTCAAGGTTAAAAAAATCTTAAAGTTCATTATTAGTTCCTTGTATGTTTATAAGAAAATAAACTTATACTCTTCTGCAGTGGAAAAATTTGAGAGGAGGCCAAAGTTGAGGCTTTGAGAGCACAGGCCTCAGCTGTGGTGAATCAGTCAGTGGGGCTGACGGTGCTCGCTGCCTCATTGAGCTAAAAGATGTAGATTTAGTCGTGAGCAGAGCAGTGAAGAAAAAGGGTCTAGATTTAGTCAGACAATTCCGTTATGTGGAGACATGGTGTTGTGCCTGTGTTTGACGATTACTTATTCTTTAGTTCTCACATTCATTACTCTGAGAGACTTTTTGGTGACTCCAGGCATAAATGATCATGCTGTCCTCTCCAGGCCACTGAGGCATGTGCTTTGGTGAAGGTGCCCCAGGCGGCTATTTTAGTTTCTGCTTCCCTCTCTTCTTCCTCCTTTTTCTTTTCTGCTTCTTTCCTGATAAGAAAATCTCTAGCCACATGCCTGGAATGATTTAATCTTAGCTCTAAGAAGTGAATCATCATTGGTTTAAGTTAAGCAGAGAATCAGAATCCTCCCTCTGAGAGATTATTTCAGGGATGAGTTTGACATAGAATTCTGGTCAGCGAGACCTGTGCAGCACTCAAACTGGGAAATTTCTGAAGCAATTGTCCTCTCTTATGAAAAGAAATATTTATTAGAGAAACTGTTTTTGTTTTGTTTTGTTTTGTTTTTTCCTGCTACTGTGTGACGTTTGAAATTATAGAGGCAACTTGTGATAGTGTCGATGAGGACAATAAGCAACATGGCTTAGAAGATAGAAATAATCTAGATTTTTGTGTGTTGTTGAGTCGCTGATTAGCCTACCCTGAAGTCTCTCTGCCTCTAGACTTATTTTAGTAAGAGCTTTTTCATTTTTGTAAGGCATTCTTCACCAGGAATTTCTCCTATCTGTAACCCCAAGCACTATAATTGATACAACTGTGTCCTACTTTGTACCTTTATAAGTGATCTTACTAGAAGGTTCTATATTGTTTTTAAAATTTCCAGGCATGGTGGCACATGCCTGTAATCCTGGCACTCAAGAGGCTGAGGCAAGAGAATCACTATGAGTTTGAGACCAGCGGGCTACATGGTGAGCTTATGGCCAGTCATAACTCTATAGTGAGATCCTGTCTCAAACTCCTACCATTACTGAAAATGAAAACTCTAACTCCTTGATAAGGTAGTAGTTCTTTGGGGGTATTTCTTATTCATTTTACGGTCTCTGGTATCTTTCACAGAGGCACCAATTTGCTGCACAAATCACTAGCTTAATGAACACTATCTCTGAGAAGTGCTCATTGTCAGGGAATCCAAACTCACTGGCTGAGCCTCTTCACATCTCAGCCTGCCTAGATCTGCCCAAAAAAGGAATGAGGAAGTCAGATGTGAAAATTCTCTTCTGTCTGAACACAGAAGTCAGATTTTGCCTTCCTTCTGCACCATCTTGTAAAGCAATCAGTCTTTCTCTGGATGAACTATACCGAGGCATAGTTGGATTTTGTACTTTCTCCTTAAGAAACTATTCATAAAGGTAAATTTTGTAAACATGTTTCAGCTATGTTTCAGTCAGTGCCTACAGGGATACCATTCTTTTCCTTTTTGGGCTAATGTTTACTTTAATGGATGAAAGAAAAATGACAAATGGATGAGATATTATAAAACTGGCTTTTAAAAACTTTCCAGCTTAGGTCATAGGATGTGTGCACACACATGTAGCTCAATCTCTAAACTCTCATCACTTCAGTATGAGCCAACTTTTGGGCTAGTGATGCTTTCTTTTTCTCTTTCTAATGAAAAGACTATTTAGAATAGTAGTTGTTTCCAGGCTGATCCTTGAAATTCCATGTAAGCCCAGCACATGTGTAGGAAAGGGGAGCAGGTATAATGGGGTAGCCTGCAGCCCCAGGCTCTGTGTGTCCCGCTCTCCCTGGGGGAGGCATCAACATCTTGAAGCCCAAGAAAGCCCTTCCTTTGTGTTCCCGCCTCTTGGGATCTCCTTAACCATTAAAATAGGTTTTGGCTGGGGCAGCGGTACAGTCTGTAATCCCAGCACTTGGGAAGCTGAGGAAGGCAGATTGCAAGTTTGAGGCCAGCCTGAACTGTCTCAACCAAAAGAAAAAAAACTTTGTTTTTAAAGTTTAGATTTTGACACATAATAATTGTACTTGTAGGGCACAGCATGATATTTCAATGCAAGTGTACAATGTATAATGATCAAATCAGAGCATTTAACATCTTCATTACCTCACATATTTATCATTTCTTTGCGGGAAGAGCATGTACAATGTAATCTTAAGTATAGTCATTCTACTGTGCAAGAGAACACAGAATTTATTCCACCTATATAACTATGTGTTAGTAATCACCCCGAATCTCTCTTCACTTTTCCCTCTCCCTCTATTCTACAGTCTCTGGTCACTACTGCTTCTCTCTCTGCTTATAAAAGCAGATATTTTAGATTCTACAAATCAGTGAGAAGCTGTGGCATTTGTCTTTGTGGGCCTGGCTTATTTCATTTAACAGAATGTCCCCATCCAGGTGGCCATGAATGACAGGATTCCATTCTTTTTATGTCTGGATAGTATTCCATCACGTATATGCATCATCCTTCTTTTTCACCAGGTAATGTTCATTCAGTTTGATTCCATGTCTTGGTGATGATGGGTACTGCTGCAATAAATATTGGAGTTGCTGTTGTTACTTAAAGAATGTGGAACAAGTTTGTCACTTTATTGTTGTATTTTATTATGTATGCACTGAAACTTCTTGGGATGTAACTTCTTTCCCACAGTAGCCTGTGCTCCTATGTTGTTTCTCAGAGAACAGGGTTTAAGGGAGCACAAGCCTAGCAGAGAAAGGAGAGACAGGTAGGTCCTGCTGTGGTCCTCCTGCCTCTGCTGGATCCCTTCGTGCTCTGTCAGTGTTTGAAGAATGGGGAAGCTGCTGCAGCTTGGATCGCCCAGTTGTCCAGGACCTCCATGATGTGTGTTCATGCCCTGCATAAAGGCCCTAGACTGAGGCAGTTGGTTAAGGTTTAAATCTACCCCATAATCTTCCCTCACTGTGTACCCAGTAGAAGAGGGTTTTATTCATTCAATAAAGACACAATTTTTATTGGTTCAGCTACATATGAAAAAACAAAGATCTCCAATGACTAGAGAAAGGCTGTGTGCCAGGGACAGGTGTGCTCTAGCCCTGTCTCTACTGGAGCCCCTGCCAGCACTTTCCAAATCAACATGTATCAGGCTATGGGAGAAGCATGGAACACCCTCCCTTGAAAGGTCACACAGATTGCAAAAGGCCGGCACTGTGCAGCAGGGAGAGAGATGGTAACTTAATCTGCTGTTATAACTTATGTCTGCATGTCCCCTGAAGTTTCAGGTGATCATAGGTAGGGCTTTTCAGAGCTGGCTGGATCTAGGATGTGTGATGCTGGGATGAAGGGTGTGCGATCATTACATTAGTGTACTGACTGATCTGGCACGATTCTGGCATGAACTGTGGGAAAGCCATGTTGGGTGTGAATGACACCACTGAAGGGCAGGTTACCCAGGAGACATAAAGGGAGAGTCATGCAGCTGCTGCTGTCCCTTCTCTACCTTGGTGCCTTGATGCCTTGCTGCTTTCTGCCTGCCATGAACTGTTTCTCTTCTGTGATGCCCCTGTCACGACACCCTGCCTTGGAGACAACCAACTATGAACTGAAACTCCTACAAACTGTGAGCTAAAATAACCTTTCGTCCTTTAACTTTGAGTGTCAGACATTTTGTTTCAGCAGTGAGGAAAGTAACCAAGAACCTTTTTGTTTGATGCAATGCAGGGACTCACGAAGATTAGGCCTCCAGATGATTTTTCCCAACTAACTCTCTCTTCCTCTCTATGAAGCTCCTCTGTGAAACTTCCCAGGCAAGTGCTCTCAGGATGGTCCCCACAGATACTGTAGTTGAGAGCCTCTGGATGCAAGTGGCCTCTCGTCTTCATTTGATCATTGTCAACTGCACAGGGTTGGCACCTTGCCCCTGAATTAAAGGTTCTCTACTTCTAGTTTGGTTTCCCCATAAAAGCTTCTTTACTAATTTTTCTAAGAATACTTTCCCAACTTGTAAAGCCAACAATAATTTTTTATGTCTATTCAGCTTAGCCTCATATGAATATTTATGCGGAATATACATATGAAAAAATATATATAATTATCATGACCTTGACCTTTTTATATCAAAATCATAACCTCTGGCATTCTTGTCTTGGGAATATTTTACATTTTCATGGCATATTTAACAAAGGTCACCATAATATTTCCAAGTGGTTTTTCTTTTTCCTTTCCAATGATACCGGTTTTGAGTATATTATATATTATTTCTCGTCTCTCTCTGCCTCTAATGGAAGATCATTGTGTGTTCTAGTTTATTGAGCCATGGTGGCACTGACTAGTATGTAGATGCAAGTGAAAATTTGAACTGGCATAAAACACAGTATATTTACCCTGGTCAATTCCCTGTCTTCACAGACAGGGACATTTTTGAAATGTGATTTTCAGTGGAGAAGAAGCTGGTGAGGGCAACACTGAAAATGCCTTAGGATCTGAAGTACAGCGGGATGTAAGAGCTCTCCTGGCTTT